GAGGTGCCTGCTATCTCTCTCAGAGCAGCACAGGGTTATGACGTAGCCACCCTAACACTAATCTAAACCTTGTCATTGACAATTAATCACATGTATGTCCTGTGAAGGCAGCAGACAAGTTCTGGTCAAAACTTGAGAGAGGCACATAACACTTCAAAAAAGGTTGAAATTCTATTCACCATATAGAAAGTGAAAAATACATCAGACTTCACAGGGGGGACAAGTAAGTAGGTAAAAGATGCAATCACTTTCACCACTTGCTTTTTTCTCTATATGCTTTTTAGCTGTGCTACTCAGCACTGTGTTTGTGGATGTTTATACACTCTGACAACTTCTGGTTGCTACCTTAAGAGCATTTATTCCTCACGGAAACTCATTTCACATCTCATCAGTTACAGCAACGAGATGGAGAAACTGATTTCTTGTTTCTTGGAGGTATGTGCATGCTGGGTTGATGGCATAGCCACAGCCCGAGCTGAACTGAGTCCTGGCTTGAGCTCCCTCACACCTCCTCTGGGCTGGGTGTTACCCAGGTTTAGAGCTTCATTCTGTTTAAAAACAGGCTTTGGGCATTTCCAAAGAAAAGCAATGCAATGGAAAACACACTTTCATTTCAGCTCCCCTTTAGCAAGTTGGACAACAGTAGACATGAGCATTTGATCAAGGTGTGCCGCATCCATTTTGATGTATTGCTTTGTCGTTCCCTTTCATGGAGCCCTGCTGCATAACTCAGTATCACTTACGGTAGACTGTGCCTGAGATATGTTTTGAGACACTGCCAGCGCTTGGCCAGTTTGGTTTGTGGGGTTTGTGACACTATGTGGTAAGTCATGAGTATCTGTGCATGATCTCTGATCTCAAGCAACCCCAGAAGCTGTGGAAAACCACAGAGCATCACAAGACTCCTTCAGTCCCCCCTCCCCCTCCCATAAAAATATCTGTTTACTCAAGTTATGAACCCGTTTACTTCTGGAATTTGCTGAGTATTTTGTCAAAGTTATGGCAAACTTTGAGGTCACAAAAAAGACCTGAGATCTCATTATTAGATTTCCCAGGGCAATAAAAAAAAAAGATACCTCTTACCATGGCATTCTCATTTTCTCATTTTCCCTGCTGTTGCATTACTTCTTACAATTGGACATGATAGGAAAGAGCTGAACAGTCTATCCAGGGAACTGGAGCAGCACTCACAGCTTGGGGAAATTAAAGGCTACACGTGATAGCTATTAGTCCTGAGATACTAGGAGGGAGTGCTTGGTGGTGAGTACAGTGTGAGGCTTTGAACAGGAACTAAGGAGGAGTTAAAAAACATTAAGAGCATAAGGAGAAGATAACCTTGAAATCTCAGGACTAGAAGCTTCTCTCTCAACAAATGCTCTAAGCATTAGTGTCCCCACAGCTGCTGGCATGCAGCTACTCTGGCACTGCAAGTACTGACCACAAAGTGGTCAAAAGGCTCCAAAAAGGAGCCTACCACTTCTGTAAAATTTGCCTGCCTGTCTTTCTCACCCAGAAATATAGGGTAGCTCAGAAATGCCAGGCAACTTCTAAGTGATTCCCAGTTGCATTTTTACTGTTGAGGACAAGCACATTCATGTGCAGGACAAACTACTCTGGTGGGTCCAGGAGCTCAGTAGATAAAGCTCCAGGATAGCAGTTAGGCAAAATCAGCCTGGCAAGAGAAGTGGTCTGGGGTCTACAAGATTCAGTTTCAGCTGCTACAAACACTTTCTTTGCTCCACTACCTTATACTTCCTTCTGGTGTCTTTTGCAAGTAAATCAATGAAATTGAGACTTGTGTTTGAATCTTGCTTACATCCTCCTGCAGCAGAAGGCAGAGATTTTTAATCAAATTAACAGGAGTGAGGCTTTCGTAAAGTATGAAGCTCTAACCTTCATTACGCAACTAAAGGCTTTTTGGTTAAGGTTAGTGTATTTCAAATCGGCTTCAAAAAGTGTAAACCAACTCCATGGTTCTAAAACTGGCATGTTGAAAGGCCATTCCTCGGTGCCTTTACTGCCAGGCATTTAAATAAAATTAGTGTTAAGTGCCTAAGGATGACAAAGAATAAAACTGATTAGCTGTGTGTGGCTAATAATAATAATAAAGTGGAAAATATTTTGGACTAAAATTAATGGACACTTCTTTAGTATGTCATACGTGAATTTATCTGCATGACTTCCACTCATGTTAATGGGAGCCGCTTGGCTAAATTTCTGGTCAGTGAGCTGTTAATTCATCCCTAAGGGATTAAGTTTAAATTTAAACTTACAAAAGCCATTTAATGTTAAAGCTGAAACACTGTCTTGAATTCATATGGTTTTCAGAAAACAAAGGAGTAGTGAAATAAATTAGCAGTGATGCATTAGTGTGAATATTGAATTTCCTGAATTTAGTGTTTAATTTGGGGTGGTCAAAAGTCATGACATCCTGGGTCTGACCAATACCTGGTCAGTGTGATATTCTGGTGCCCCAGCACTACATGCTCCCAAACATCGAATAAAAAAATATAAGTGCTCGATAGCATGTTTATAATCAAAAGTTTTTTTCTAGCTACTGTCAGTAGTTGGCTTAAGTCCTGATACAGATGTGACCAATGATTCTTTAGTTTATATTATACTTCTGAATTATGTAACACTTACATTTAAGGATTGAAATATATAAATTAGTTCCCTTTCAATCTGTCTCTTGTTCTAATTCCCATTTTTTTTCTAAATTAAATTATCCAAAACTTTTGAGCCACTTTCCTTACATACGTTTTTGATGTATATCTTCTCCCATACTTTTCTTGATGTGTTTTTTCTGCTTCTATACATCTTTTCTGCTCCTGTCTGTATCCTTCTAAGCATCAGTGGGCAAAATCCAGTGTAAGTACCCCACCAATTTAAGGAGGCCATCATATTTGTGTTATTTCCTGTTCACCTCTACTCCTGCAGAAGACTGTCACTTCCTTTTTTCCTATCATCACTAAACTAAACTATTTTCCTGAAGCTCTTCACAGTGATTCATTACTCGACCTTTCCTCCAACTTCCACCCTTTATTTCTCCCTCCTCTCCTCACACCCCCAGTGTTACATGAATAGTTTAGACTAGTCATCCTAACACTTGCTGCTTTTCTAAACTGCACTTATAAGTAGTTACATAGGCCTTCTGAAATCTCTCATAGCCTTCTCTGCTGTTACAGGTATGTTATCTCCTGCACTAGCTGTCATTTTTGCCACCTCTCTGTTTACCTCCCTCCAGATGGATCATACATGACGTAACACTTAATTCGTGTGCTGGAGGCACCCACAGATAGCCACTTCCTATGTAGAAAACTGCACATTTCTTCAACCTCTTTGCTTGTTATCTCTTAACTATCTTCTAATCCATGTCTGATCTTATCTGGTTGCTCTCCGAAGGAAATGCCTTTAGCACTCTTGTACAATGTTGTTCTGTATAAATATTTATTCATACATAAGGCATTCTGAGTTCACTTTATCAGTTCATAGTCATCTAAGTGGTTTATACTATTAATTTGTTTTCTAATTAACTTTTCTACCACTGAGATAAGGCTTTCTGCTCTGTAATTACCAGGGTCATCTGCTGCATCTTGTTTAAAATTAGATAAACTATTAACTATTCTCTAGTCCTAGCTGATGCTGTATTCTGCAGTTAATTGTGATAAAGAAATCTCTTGCCTTGGAAAAGAGTAACCACATGCTCACAGCAAGGCAAAGGTTTGACCTTCAATGGCCTTCTGCTATTGCAGCCCTAGGGTCTCCCAAGTTAATGCCTTTAAAGTTCATTTTCACTTGAGACTTAAGCCAAGTGGTAAATCAGGTTCTCATAAAAGATGTATGTCAGAAATTAAGTCAGAATGGCATGAAGCTACCTACTTTTAGACAAATGAAAGGATAGTATCAAGTAACTTTCCTAGATATGTTCACTTTAGTAAATATTGTTCACGCTGGTTCTGAAAATACTGATTTAGAGGCAAGAAGATAAAAAGCTGTTTCATTGTTTCCTTCCTCTCTAAATGTGTTCCGAATGGATGAAAAATAAATCACAGAATCATAGAATCAATGGTTTGGGTTGGAAGGGACCCTTAACCCAACCTTTGGGTTGGAAGGGTCTCATATAGTTCTAACCCTCTGCCATGGGCAGGGACACCTTCCACTAGACCAGGTTGCTCAAAGCCCTGTCCAGCATGGCCTTGAATACTTCCAGAGATGAGGCATTCACAACTTCTCTGGGCAACCTGTTCCAGAGTCTCACTGCCTTCACAGTAAATAATTTCTTCCTCGTATCTAATCTAAATCTGCCCTCTTTCAGTTTAAAGCCATTCCCCCTTGTCCTGTCACCACATGCTGTTGTAAATACTATAATGGACTTTGCTCTTTTGCAAACATAAAGCCTTCCTAAAAAAACGCTGACTGGGAAAGAATCTAAGGCTGAAAGATTCATCTGCTTCCTACAGGTAATAAATCTGGAGGGAAAAAGAGTTTACAAGTGACTTAATTGTCATTTCTAAGCATGATTTAAGAAGATGTAGCACAAAACGAGAGGAAATGCAATCAAATGTCTCAAGCAACACATCTCTATGTTACTAAAAATAATATTTTCAGTGACATATACATTCATATTGTATCAATCCTTTTCTGGGAAAAATCAGTCCAACATATGCCTCATTCTTGCAAGAAAGTTCAGGAGGAAGCTGTGGTAGCATCCACACAGAAAGGTGTCAAAAGTTCTCTCCAATTTCTTCTAAATTAACTTATCCATAAACACCTGTTAACACTCCTGTCTAACACATATATAACCTCTTTCCACTCTGTTCATTCATCATTTCCAAATACAATTCACTGGGTGATATTGTGGCAACAAAGATGTTAATACTAAGCTTACTTAAAATCAGGCCTCCTGCAGCCATACATGGCTCTGAGAAAAGCCTTCAGAATACATGCAAGCAGTAAATATCCAAAACAAGAACCAAAGACAAGAAAAAGAGTGAAAATACCTCATGATATTTTTTCACTGTTTTCCCTGACATGCACATGCAGGATTTCCAGTTCGAAGTCCCGCAGCCACAGTTTCCTCCACAGCGCTGGACAAGGAGGCAGCGGGGGAAGAAAACAACATTTGTCAGCTTCAGTTCCTCCCTTAAATTGACAGAGTAATTTCTTGGAGTGCAGCTGTAACGTTTCACATCATCATTCAACCTGTCCAGGTCAACTGCAATGCAAAAGAAGTTTCATTAGTAAGGTTTGAGTGGGACATTCCTCTAGTTTGAACCACTCCCCAGGCAGTCAGTAACGCAAAGTAGTGTGACACTGGTTGGAAAATACGTGAAATACAGCAGTGACTTCCAAACAGACATAAACCCACCAATTTTAAATAATTACAGGTGGCCATCCAGGCTGCCATCCTGTGCCCGCTGACTCCCATAGCAGAGCTTACACTGACTATAAAAGTGAAGGGAAGGCTTGCCTGAAATATTGGCCTGAAAGCTGAAGACCGGTTATTTTATTTGCTTTGTCACTGATCTGTTAGATCCTTGAGTAAGAGATTTTCTCTGTGCTACTCTTTTCCCTCCTCTGCTTATACCTGGCTTATTTGAATGATGAGCTTTTTTTTTTTTTTTTGTTATTATAGGCATAACTCCTTTTGCCTAACTGCTGGCATACAAAAGGCAAACACTTTAAACATGGCTATTGCTGTGCTTATTAGAGAAAGGTCTTTGGAGAGTGATTCATCCCTTCCTCACAAGGGCATTTAGGACAGGTGGCATGACTTCCTTTCTCAAGTTGCCTGTCTGTATTGTTTATGGATAGAGTCTAGATAACTCTTTTAGATGGTCAAATCTAAACAATATTAATTTCAGCTGGTAAATGCTACTATAATAGGCATAAAAATAAATACAATTAAAACTAATGAGCTTCAATGAATGCCAGTAGTTGGTTGATGTTTAAATGCCTGGTATTCTCTGTGAGATATGTCATGTAAACAAGTAGTAAAGCCAACCATAAAAATAACTTACAGACTATCAACTGTGAGTTTAAGTGCTGTTTCTAGCTTTAGCTTGTAAAGCTAAAACAAAACAAAACCCTCTTCCATAAATACATTTTCCACAATTGTAACACAGCTAAAAGTAACAAATTTAATGGCTTTTATTTCTTTAGAAGTTCTCAGAGTTCTTTTTCTCTCCTTTTCTGCTTTCTTCTTTTTCTTACGATTCTGTCCACCAACTAAGTGTTCAAAAGCTCAGGAATTCAATCAGGACTGGACGACACGTCAGCTGGTGTTGAGTTCCCACCCCAAACAGTATTTGCTAATAGAAATATCATCAGGAAAATAGGAATGGTTTAAATGAGAAATTAGATAAGGGTGTAGTGTTGGTGAACATATCATATTTTCATGGGCATGTTTAATAGCTCAACACCATCTCTTCTCCTGATAGTACCTATGCTTGTGCTTTACTATAAGCATGTGAAAACCTTCCACAAAGACACCTCCATGACTCAGTCCTTGTCAACATCACAAAGTAAACTGTGGAAAAAGCTGTGATGATGTAAATACCATGCACCTTTACATGCTGGCCTGGAGATATTCACAAGGCAGATATGCAAGATACAAGTCATAAATGTCACAAGTGCTATTACAGAAAATCATAGCAGCTTCACTTTTCTGGCAAGGTGTTATCTCAGTCAATGGAAATTTAGCAGATAAATTGTGATTTTATAGCAACTGTGGTACATCTCACCATGAAATCTCAGTGGCTCTCTCCAGACAGCTAGCATCTCTTCAAAAGAGGTATAGATCATCCTCCTGATAGAAGCACAAAATCGATAGGGCTGCTGGTATACTCATGCACTGGGAGAAAAATTCACTACAAATGTCCGCAGTCAAGACTTACAAGTCCAGAGAATATTGATTTCTTTGTTTTAACAGATGATATTTTCTTGTCTGCTGATATTCTCCAAAGCCGCTCCTTCTCATTGCAAGGTCTCAGGCTAATTCTTCTCACAGGGAAGTGTTTCCCTCTACTCTAAATGTTCTCATTGGGACCTTTGCCATCAGCTTTGCTTACCAATATAACAAAGAGGTACTGGGTTGCTATCCATTTTAGACAGTGAAGGAAAAATTAACCAATGTAAAAAGAGGGCAGATAATTTTGTGCCTTCATGATTAATTAAATTTCTTGAGAGGAAAGCCTGGATCATCCACACTCATGCAACGATCCAGGGGAATGGATATTGATATGAGCAGGCTTCTATCGGGACAGGCTGAACAAGGACTGATGGTGCCTCTCTATACAGTTAGAATAAAATTCTTAAAGGCTTAAATCAGCCTTAATTCAGCTGAAGTAATGTAGGAAACAAGGCTTCCAGTAACAAACTGGTCATAAAGAGGGCCCAGACTCATGTCACATGAACTGACTGACATCTGTGTCCAGGAGAAGTCCAGAGGACTGAACAAAATTTGATCTATCACAGATGAAATTTCCACTCCGGCTCAATAGTCCCTCTTCCTGCACTGAGCTGATACCTATTTTCACTGCTGCGTTATCAACACAGAAATGAGTCTTCGTAATGAGACTGGCAGAGAGGGAAAGCACCAGCATTTAAAGAGCCAGGGCAGGGGGGCTTTCCTGCAGAGACCATATTATATTCATCACAGCGTTACACATATTAGCTTCAGTACTTAAGCTGCTCCATTTAAGTGGCAAGGGGTGACCTGGCAAAGGGCTTTCACCGGAGGGAAGGCTTTGTTCACTAGCTTTCAAAAGCCTCATTTTGTTGACTTTCAGAAATCTTTGCAAGGTCTTTTAGGCTGTAGCTGAGTCAGTACTGTGGAGAGCTGCTGACTTGCTTGAAGCATAGGAGGGAATAACCAGATAATTAGGATAATTTTTTTCTCTATGCAGTATGAAGGAATCAGGTGTTTTTGGTGAGGGCTCAAAACTTTCTCTGGATGCATTCTTAAGGAATTCGATAATCAACCAGTAGCAAAATACATTTTATTTAGTGTATTTTTCTATGTTGAACTATATTTGAAAAATTTTCCAATAAATTGCATGAAAATTGCATGAATTCTCCTTGGTGTCATCTCAAGACACTCTGATCCTGACTTACTAGCATTTTTTGGGACCCCAAATCCCAGAGTTATCAATGTGAATTCTCTGCACTTTGCTGTATCTTAGGTATCAGAGTCCAGGTTGGAATGGAGAAATACAATATCAGACAGGTCTTATTTTAGTGATCTTGAAATACTAAAAATAACTTCAAGCAGCAGAGGAAAGACTAAATAAAGGGCTTAAGAGATACACAAGTCATTCTCCATAAAAATTCATATGGAGGTAAACACCTACACTCTTTTTGACTCTGGTTTACAGAAATCCACTGCTTGGTAGGATAAGGTGAGCATACAATGTCTTCTGTGAACAGGGTATACTGTACTCTGATAGCATCAGACTGATGCACAAGAACAGGTCCTATTGCCTAATTAGCTTTAGACTATGGTTTGCAGTGCCCTAACAAAGGAACACATTTTGCAGTGAACAACTCTCTCTGCTGAAAGCTTCGATATGCATTTTTCCTTGTCTTGGGATTGTTTTACTGTCTGGAGCCAGACCATTTCCTCATCCATATAACGATGAGATTTTACAGTACAGTCAGTTTTATGCATCACTTCACTGCTGTAACTAAAATGTAACTGAGCCTTGGTGTGATTGGTGTGAAATCCTGCTGCTTTTCTTATCAAGGACTGAAACCACTGGAGTCCTTAATTTAAAACTAGAACTAAAGCGTTCTCTAGACTGGATACAAATAACTTCAAAGTATTATTACAGAATGTCTGCATCAGAATTCAATTTAAAGGCAAGGCAGACATAAAAAGAGACACTGGAGCAGTAAGCTGGATAGTAAGGGTACGCTGTCCCCTCCTCCCTCTCAAATCCTGTGTCTAAATCCATCCTCATTTCATAGTCCTATGGCATGTGCTTGCCTTGAAACATCGATCTTAATCAGAGGAAAGGACTGATATCAGGGACTGCAGCTAATACCAAGTTTTATTTAAGAAGGACAGCCTTAAAGATTGCAGAGAAAACCCGTGCTGCTGGTCACTGATTAATTTTAAAAAGACAGGAAGTCTGTTAGAGTTTCTTTTAAGACTTTATTGTTCCAAGTTCATACATGGCCCTAACATTGCCATATCTGAATATTTTACACTTTTTTTTCATGCATCAGCCACATACCAGAGCTGAGGTGTAAGATATGGTAGCCACCTTGGTATTCCTATAGTACATGTCAAGGCCATCTACAAGCAAGACAAGAAGGATTCAGGCAGCCTATCCTCATTCCAGTGTGAAATAAAGGGGCAAATTCTCCTGAAAGCAATGTTCAGGTACATGAAAGACAAGAGGGTGATTGGAAACTGACCAAATAGATTTACCAAGGGCAAATCATGATGGACCAGCCTGAAAGTCTGCTATGATGAGACAACTCTCTTGGTGGATGAGGTGAAATCAGCAGAATCATCTGCTGATTTTTGTCAGTAATCCATAGTAGTATCCTTACAGCCAAACTGCTGAGATATAATGGGAAAGGTGGACTACAAATTTGGTAGATAACCAGAAGGTCTAAGAGGCTTGAGCAAAATGGTCAGCAATTCCAAATACAGCTTGTGGCTGGTTACTAGCCATGTTCTCCAGGCAGTAATGCTGGGGTTAACACTGTCGAAGATCTTTACTAATGATCAGAACAATGGAATGATATGAACCCTCAGCAAGTTTGTCAGTGACATCACATTAAGGGAATTTGTCCATGTGCTGCAGGGCTCCCATTCAGAAGGATCTCAGCAGTCTGGATAAATGAGCTGGCAAGAACCTCACCAGGCTCAGTGATAGAAAATGGAAATTCCTGTGCCTGGCATGGAATAACCCCATGCATCAGTCCAGACTGGGGACACACTGGTTAAGAAGAAGCTTTGCAAAAAAAAGCCTTGTCATCCTGGTAAACATCAGGTTCAACATGAGTCAGCTGTTTGCCTTGCAGTGTCACAGGCTGAACGCTGAGCTGCATTAGGAAGAATTTGGCAGCAGGTCGAGGGAGATGAATACTCACGTTCATTCAGCTTTTGTGAACCTGCATCTGCAGTACTGTGTGCAGGTTTGAGCCCTCTTCAGCAGAAAAGGATGAACAAACTGGAAGTTCAGTGATGGGTGACTGTGGTGG